TTCTATACCAATCTCTCAGGGATTTTTGGGTGTGTGTGAGACTCCAATGAGATAATATCTGTAAAGTGGCTGGCCTTAGGGTATACGTCCAATAGGAAAAAGATGATCACACTCTTTTTATGATTATTTAGTATTACAGTCAGGGAGCAACATGGGGGTGTGGGATTCAATCCCAGCTCGCCACTTGCTAGGGTGTGACCCTGGTGAGTGACTCTATCTTCCTGTGCAAAATGGGGACCATTAACTGCAGGACTGGAGGGAGGATGCTTAGGGTGGCACACACTTGGCACTCAATGAGTGGTGGCTGCTGTCATTGTCATTTTCATTTGTGGTTTGTTGCTGTTATTGGAGGCTTATTTATTCCAGACAACAGGAACGTGAGTGCCTGCTGGATGGCCCAGGAGAAATCCCACTGAAATCACCAGCTCCAGTTGGGAAAATGTGGAAGTCAAAAGGTCACTGTCACTTTTAAAAGGAAGCAGAAGAGAGTGAGACACAGTGAAAGTGCAATGCCTCAGTTTGTCCGAATTCTGGGGTCTTAACAAGCCACAGAACTTCTACCATGCTGCAGACATTCATAACTCATCCATTCATCCATCCCTTTAACCAAGAGAATCACTGAGCATCTACTAAGTGCCAGGCACTCTCCTAGCACTGAGGATACAGTGCTGACCAAGAGAGGTGTGGTTTCTGGTTCCTGGAGTTCAAATCTATTGGAGGACATGGACAAATTAGTCAGACCATCAGTGTGATTAGTACCAGGATGCAGGCAGCACAGGGCAGAGGCCAGCAGAGCCAGGAGGGGGCCTCCCATCCAGGCTGGGTGGGCAGAGATTCTCAAATTCCTCTTCTAGCAAAGGAACAAAAACAGGAACCTGGCCAAGCACAGTGGCTCATGCCTGGAAATTCAGCACTTTGGGAGGCCAAGGTGGGAGTATTATTCGACCCCAAGAATTTAAGACCAGCCTAGGCAACATAGCAAGACCTCATCTCTACAAACAATTTAAAAAATTAGCCAGGTATGGTGGTGAACACCTCTAGTCCCAGCTACCCCGGAGGCTGAGGTGGGAGGATTGCTTGAGCCCAGGAGGTCAAGGCTGCAGTGAACCATGATCACACCACTGCACTCCATCCTGGGAGACAGAGTAAGACCCTGTCTTAAAAATAAAAAAATAGGGGTGGAGAGGGAGGGGAGGGTGGGGAGGGATAGCAAGGGGAGAAATGCCAGATATAGTATGCACCTAAGGTAAAACAAATAAATTTTTAAAAATAAATAAATAAAAATTTAAAAAATAGAAACTTGACTGGCTTCTTCCCATCAGGAAGACGAAATAATCTGTCATTTACATATTAAATGTGACCTATGCAATGAGAAAACACAAAAGAAAGTATTTAGTCATTGGATTTAGGCATTGATCTTTTTTGGGGGGGATAACTGTTGACATAATAAATTATACAATAGTAATGACAGCAATTATTTTTTGAATGGATACCTTGAGGATTATATTGTTTATTAAAAGATTGAGAACTTCCATAGATTATTTGCTGTTTCCCTGCTTCCTACCACCCTCCAAAGACTTCCACTGCCTGGGACCCTCCCCACAATTCAGCAAATAAATAAAGCCTGGCTCCGCAGAGAAGCGTCTAGGGACCCTGCTCCTATAGTTCTGATTGGTTTATACCTGGTTGCTACATTTATTAAACATTATTCTGGGTAACATTAATATCACTCTTTCCTAACATGGGGAAACTGAGGCACAAGTGAAGTAACTCACACAAGTGGCCGAGTCAAGATTTGAACCTCTGATTCAGAGCTCAAGCTGTTAACCTCTTGGAAGTAGCACTGTCACCTGGACCCCAGTGGAGACTCACAGAAATAGGAGACCCGGTACCTGTCCTCAGGGGGCTTATAATCAAGGCAGGGAAAGTTCTTAATAAAGCTGGTCATTGGAGTGTCTGGTGAACGTGTGATTCTCTCTGGAGTCTGAGAAGAGAGACTGGAGGGACTTCCTGGACAAAGGGCCATCTGAGTAGCAAGGGAAGGACTAGCCAGGAGGAGGGCTCCCTGAGAGGAGTTCTCAGTATAGAAAGCAGCATCAGCTTTGGAGCTGCCACACTCGCTGGCTGGGGACTTTATTCTTCTACTAAGAGTAGAAGTCTTGTGCTTTCATTTCCCTGAGGGAAGTCAAAGCAAGAAGCCCTTGCTAACTCACAAATCAGCTGCTGCCTCAGTTTCCCCATGTCTAGCAATGAGACTTATATCCTCCACATCCTCCCATATGTCTCTTTCCCTCCCAGCACATGTCAGGGAACAACATGGCATTGGGGAAGGATCCCAGAACCAGGATCTGGTCCCACCTCAGTCACCTCATCTGTCAAATGGCATAAAAAATTATGATGATGTTAGTGAGTTTCAGAAACAGCAGAGCATATGGTCAAGAGCCTGGGTTCAAAGAAAAGCTCCACCACTTTCTTCCCAGCTAACACTTGGCCCATTGCCACACATCTCTGTGCCCCCACTCCTCCTCCAGGAAGGACACCATGATTGCAGTACTTATCATCTACAGTGCTATTTCAATTAAGAGACTTAATACTTCCAGAGCACCTAACCCCTTGTCCTACTCCAGTCAATGCTCAGCTTATGTTTGCTGTCACCATCCAGGACAGCAACTGAGCACTCACTGTGTGCCAGGCACCAGGCACTGTGCTCCTTATCTGCTGTGTGATCTTGGGCAAAGCTGGGTCTCACTATCCTCAACTGTCAGACAATAATGCCGTTCGGTGCGTGCTGACCGCATGTTAGGTGCAGAGCTAAGCATTTCGCATGCATCATTTCATACGATGCTCTCGACAATTCTATGAAGTTGATACTATCATTATTCCTTTTTTGCAAATGAGAAAATTGAGGCTTCAGAAGCCATGATCGTAACCCTATATGTGTCATTGTAAAGTTCCAGTCAGTTTAAAAGTACCTCGAAAAGTATAAAGTACTGCATCTCTTCAGAGAACGTCTACTGTCAAATCCAGTTTCTCCCCAACATCAGTTACTGGTTCACTTCTTTCCTATAATAATTTTTGTAGCTACTATTTATGGAGCAAGACACCATTTTTGGCACCTTATCTGCTTTATTTACCTCTTTGAATCTCATACCAACCCTGTAAGAGAGGCATAATTATCGGCTCCATTTTATAGATTAATGTGGCACAGAGAAGTTAAGTCACTTGCCCAAGATCACACAGTTGTGATGTGGCCAAGCAGAAATTCTAATGCAGGCAGAAGGCAGGGAGGCTGGGTTTGGGAGTGAACAAAGCTCACCCTGGGTTTGTTTATTCCTGAAATACTTTCCATCATCTTACTTCAGATAAAGCTGAACACACCTCTTTCAGATCTTCAGTTTTTCACAGGGCCAGTGCTGCTTTCTGTGCAGAAAGTTTGGTATTTTTTAACATGCAAATATTTCTCTTCTCTAATGACCCCACCCATCTGCAGGCACACTGGAGTCTGTGTCTGAGTCTAAGGGGGCATCAGGCTTCTCCTCAAGAGACCGCTGTGCAGGGCAGAGTGGAAGCATTTGGATCAGCCTGTGTCAAGCCAGCTGTCTCTGACTCCTGGAATTGCATTCTATATGCCCAGTGAGTTGCCTTGGCGGACCAAGCATGAGTCGCCTGGAACAATCTGGTGCCCTTGTCTCCCACATGTACACACACACACGCACACACACACACACACACACACACACACACACTGGCGTGCCCATACCCACAATCCCTGCACACATGGGCATGGGCTGGGAAGGGTAGCTATTGAACATGCACTCACAAAATACACACTTTGAAACCTCAGCAGAGCTAGTTCACACACCTGGGGCGCAGAGTTAGCAGCCTCAATAAAATTAAAGGCTTGTGTCAGATCACACAGGAAAACAGAAGCCCCGTTTCTCATCCAAGTTCTTTCTCGCTCTCTTTCCAAATAGAGCTGAATTTGGCATTAGGCTGACCTCCGCCCCCACCGTCAGAACATCAAACACCCGGTTTCAGTATTTATGACAGTAAAAACCCTTTCTCACCCTTAATATGTCTGTCGTCTGTCTGAGTGCATCGCTTTTACAGATGATGTGATATTCGTGATTTTTTTTTTTTTTTTGGCCATTATGTCATAGGCTTGACAGGGGACAGGATAAACTGGTCCCCGTTAAAACGTTCAAAGTGCCGGCCGGGTCTTGCTTTCAAAAACGCAGCTCAGCTAAAAATATGTGTCATTGAGGTCTGCTGTGGCAAAGCACACGGTTTACCTAACCCAAGGCATTTGGCTTCAATCTAGTTTGTAAAAAAAAAAAAAGAAGAAAAAGAAAAAAGAAAGAAAGGAAAGAGAAAGAAAAGAAAAGAAAGAAAGAGAGAGAGAGAAAGAAGAAAGAAAGAAGAAAAGAAAAGAAAAAAAGAAAAAAGGAAAAGAAAAGAAAAGAAAAGAAAGCCTCTCAGGCTTATTTACTGAAATTGTCATTTCTTCCCCCCTCCCCAGAACTGTAATCAGCCACGCAGAGCACAAAACCTACATTCAACTCTGGTTTTATGACACGAGGCTAACTCCTCCTCCGCGAATTTATTTCACTTCACTCTCGAAGCCCTTCCCACTGGCAGCCGGGCCCCGCAGCCCCCAACGCCGAGCTCCCCTCTGAAAAACACAACGCTTTGCCCGTTTCCACTTTTAAAGACCGATTCATTATTGTGGAGCCAAAGCCCCTCCGCAATCCCGACCAGTTAACCCCCTCCCCTAAGATCCAAGTGGCGTGACACTAAGGCTAAGTCCAAGAGAAGGGGGAAAAAAGCAGAAAAAGGGAAAGTAGAGTGTAATCAGATCCCCAAACAACTGATGGTACATTGCACTCTAAAGGGGTAGCTGGAGGACTGTATCCAGCAGGCACATCCAAAAAGGGGAAGAAAATGGTTTGAATGTCCCAGAGCCTCTGCTGCTGCTGTAACTGTTAGAAAGCAGTCTTCCCTACTATACTTACTATCTAGTAAAATGCCAAGCCTGTTCTCTTAAAAGAAAAAAAAAGTAATAATGATAATACTGCAGCGTTATGGCATTTGCTGTCAAAAGCTGAGTGCTGAAAGGGTTAAACAGCCAGCGGTTAGTAGCGAGAATCCCTCCCGGTGTCCCGTGGAGGGTAAAATCCTCCCGACAGACTGGCCCAGGGAATCCCGGCTCGCGACGCTTCCCTGCCCCCGCGCAAAGTTGTCCAAAGTCGCCTTCCCAAAGGTCCCTTCCCTGGCCGGGGCGCGGGCGCCCCTCCGCGGGCCACACTACCTGTGCGCCCAGAGCGAGCAGGGTCCTGGGCCTCCCACACCGACCTCTGCCCGGAGCCGAAAGTGCTGCCCGGGACGGACGGGAGCAGCAGGAAAGGGCCGGGAGGAGCGAGCGGAAAAGGCTGGAAGGGATCGAGAGTCAGTTACCTTGGTCCACAGACCCCATGATGCGGAGGGGATGGCAGTGCCCCAGTCTGAACGCAGCCTCTCTCTGCATCTGGAGGGGACGGGGGCTTGGCGGGTGTTTGGAAAGGGGGGTCTGTTTGTATAGACCAGCAGCCGAGGGGGCGCCGTCTTCTCTACCGCGTGCCCGCGGGGCTGCCCTGGCCGAGGAGCCTCGGAGCGGCCCGGGAGCTGCGCGCCTCCCGGCTCCCGGCGCGGCGGAGTCGGCGCGGCTCCGCGATCGGGCTTACTCCAAAGGCAACGCGACTTCCTTCCCCGCGCTCCGTGTTTATAGGCTTTCAATGCAGTAAAATAACGGGATTCCCTCACTGTTTCCTCCTGTTTATCCAGCGCCATGGAAACCACTGGATCCCGTCCATCTCCAAAACTAAGGGCTTTCCTGCAAACTTCACACTCAGGAATCCATGACGTCGCCTCCTCCGCGGCCAGCCAGCTCCGTGGCTCCTTCGGCCGCCAGCACAAGTCCCTGATTGTTCGCGAGAAAAGTCTGGGAGAGGGAGCGAAGCGGGCGACGGCGAAAAGAAGGGGGTGGGGGCCTGCGAGTGTCCAAGTCGGCCCTGCAGGAGCTCCAGGCGGCTGTTTGCAAGGAGTGCCCCAGCCACCGCCTTCCCTGGCCCGCGGCAGCTTTTCATAAATCATGCCCGAGACTCCCAAGCCCCCCAGTTGCCAAGCGGGCGCCTCTCGGAGAAAGCGGCCCAGGGTTCAAACCAACACCCCAGGTTGTCCAAGCTCCTGGACGTTCGCCCAGGGGGCCCTTCCCAGTCCCTCACTGCTTCTGGCTGCCCAGATTTTTGTGTGTTCAGGGATGGTGGGGAGGAGGAAGAGGAGAAGGAGGAGGAAGGAAAAGAAATAAATAACGGTGCCTTGTGTCAACTCTCCAACTTTGAGAATTTTTTTTCAAAGAGTTTATTTTTAGATTCATTTAGAAAATCCAAGGTTTCCAGTGATGCTCAGAGGCTCCAGAAATAATGAAATGGCCAAAGAGAGGCTGAAACTAGGCAACCCATGTGTTTACACATGCTCTGAATAAACAGGAAAATAAAGAGAAGGGATATCATGAACTTTGCACGGTGTCCAGGAGAAAGTCCGTGCAATGCCACGCATGGTTCGCAGCAGTAGGCCACGCGACCCCCGGAAGGTCCGTGGGGAAGGGGAGGAGGGGGAGAGGGGGAGGCGCAGCACTCAAGATGCCTTTTCTGGACTTGAACTAGATCTGCCTCTTCACCTGCCTGCAGGGTGGGAAATTCTGAGCCCAAAGATAAAGCTGGCTTTGAAAATGGACTTCAGATACTGTTGTGAGCTCTGATAAAATTGTGGGTAGCAACCAAGGCTGGTGATTCATCACATACACCCCCCCCCGCCCCCCGCACGCTCTCACAGAGAGACTTGAACTTAAAGAGGCATTGAGAGGCTGCTGGCTCCATCCGTGGGACCACTCTGTTCTCCAGCACTGGCCCACAATAGCTTCACTGGGCAGCTTTCAGACATAACCACTTCTGCTGGAGATAGATGCTGGCCCACAGAGACCAACTGGAACTGGGCCTGAGAAAGCCCCACCCCCAACCCCGCCCAGGGGACTCTCTTCAAGCCTGCCTCAACCAGGGTGGCCTCCAGCAGGGAAGCCTGAGTAATACTGTTCTCCCAAAGAGCAGCCATTATCTGTCCACCTACTGTGTGCCAAGGAATTCAAAGTAAGGAAGTCTCACTGAATGTCCAGTAAGTCAAAAATCACGCAGCCACCAAATTTCTTGCAACCACTCTGCAAAGAGGGGAATCCCCTCCCCCACTTTCCAAAAGGGAAACTGAGGCACAGAGCAGGCAGGTGGCTTGCCTGGTGATTTACTTGGCAAATTCCAGAGTGCAGCCTTTAAGGGTGTAGAGGGGGTTCTCTTCAGTGGAGCCTATTGAGGAAGACTCATTCCCAGAGGCCTCTTTGGTCAACCATCTGAAGCAAGAACAGAGTGACCAACCGTCCTGCTTTGCCTGGGATTGAGGGGGCTCCGAGAATGTAAGACTTCCAGTTTTAAAGCTGAGAAGGTTGCAGGCAACTTGGGATAGGTTGGTCATCCCAGGCATGAATGAAACTCAACTTCCTTTTGCCACTCTCCAGACACCAAGGAAGCCTGCTAACCGTTATCGTCTGAAGACAGTTGCTACACTTAGTAACACTGTAAACAGCACGCCTCACTCAGTCCCTTCCAGGTGCCAGGCCCTGAGCTACACTCCTCTGTAAATTTCCGCTCACAACCCCACTGCAAAGCAATAGACTAAAGCTGAAGGGGTTAGCCCTGTGCCATCCAATATGGCAGCTGCGAGCCACATGTGGTTATCAAAATGTTAAATAATTAACAATTAACCTAAGTGTCAGTTCTTCAGTTGCACAAACCATATGTCAAATGCTCAGAAGCCCACACGTGGCCGGTGTCTACCAAATCAGACAGCATAGAACAGACTCTTTCCATCACCATAGAACGTTCTCTCGGGCAGCAGTGGGTTAGACAACCTGAGAAGCCATTTAAAGCTCGGGCCCTACAGTCAGATGCTTGGCTTTGCCATGTCACCACTTACCCCACTCCGTAAAATGGGGACACCAGGAATCTCCTTCTTAAAAACTTGTAAGGATTCAATGAGTTTATTTCATTGAAGTGCTAAGAACAGTAAAGCACATAACAAATCCTAAAAATATGAAAGAAAGAAAGGAAGGGAGGGAGGGAGGGAGGGAGGGAGGGACAGAAAGAAAGAAAGAAAGAAAGAGAGAGAGAGAGAGAGAGAAAGAAAGAAAGGAAGGAAGGAAGGAAGGAAGGAAGGAAGAAAGAGAGAAAGAAGAAGAAAGAGAAAGAAAGAAGAAAGAAAGAAAGAAAGAAAGAAAGAAAGAAAGAAAGAGAGAGAGAGAAAGAAAGAAAGAAAAAGAAAGAACCTTCCCACAGTCAACGGATGAGCAGTGATTAAGCCAGGAGTAAGACTGATGGCCTCACCTTCATGCCCTCCCTCTCCAGGCCCTCCTACAGGTGCCATCTCCAGATCATCAGACAAGCTCAGCAAGGTGTGCTTCCTTTCACCCTCCCACTGAGCTTGATGCTGTGAGCCCCATTGACAGATGAGCAAACTGAGGCCCTACAAATTGGTGTGCACACAGCCAGTAAATGGCCGGCCCAGAGTTGAACCCAGCTCTGTTTGGCAACAAAGCCTGTGTTCTTGGCACCATATCCCCTGCCTCCCAGAATCCTCCCTTGGAGCCGAGGTCTTGGAGGCCAGAAGCGAGAAAGGAAACAAGCCCGCTGGGCCCTCCTCTGGCGGACTCATTATCGGGGATAAATTTAGACTCAGTCCCACCCAAACGCAGGCCTCTGAGGCGATGCCCCAACTCCACAGGTGTCCAGCGCTGCTGAGCGGGGGATGTCTCTTGGAACTCGAAAGAATCAGCATTAGCCACATTTTTATAGAGCCCACTCTTTGTCACGGTTAAGCGTTTTTCCCTTTTAAAGCACATTAATACTACAAGGGCTGGAGCCGAGCAGTTGCAGCTGAGTCACCTAATTTGCCCTTCTGGGCTGCAGCTTTCGGCTTCTTAGTTTAGCCGTTCCTCGGATCCCTCAGACAATTTCTTTCCTCTCCCATTGCCAGGGCAAGAAATATTTTGTCCTTTTGAACTGAACCACCCACTGTTTTTCACTTCTCTCGAGCACTCTCCCTTTTTTAAGGGATGCTCCAAGCAGGGTGGGTGGGGAGCTTCCGCCCACTAAATTATCCACGAAAACTCCCAAAAATAGAGGCTCTCAGCTGGGGTGGGAATGCACCAGCAAGTAAGGAACAAGCAAAAGAGAAACTGAATCAAAGCAAATAGAAGGCGTCCAGGTGGCCGTAGGGGGACTGGTCCGGGGAGGCTGCAGAGACAGCTGGGTTGGAGGAGACCTTGAATCACCGGGGAAGCCTTTTATTAGATTCTCTTCCCTCCGACAGCCTCATCAATCACAAACACCGATATTTCTGCTGAGACACCACTTCACTGATGCTGCCCCAAACAACCAACTCAACACCAGGGTTATTTTAAAGGCCTAGGGCAGCTTAGGTGAGGGCCCCTCTCTGCACAGCTCAAGTGTCATCTCTGCGCCGGTCGGTCCCCTTGACTGTCAACCCCTTCCTGGCTGAAATGTAGACAGCAGTTAAGAATTGGTCTAGGGCTGGGCACAGTGGCCCATGCCTGTAATCCCAGCACTTTGGGAGCCTGAGGTGGGCAGATCACGAGGTCAAGAGATCGAGACCATCCTGGCCAACATAGTGAAACCCCGTCTCTACTAGAAATACAAAAATTAGCCCGGTGGGGTGGTGCACACCTGTAATCCCAGCTACTCAGGAGGCTGAGGCAGGAGAATCATCTGAACCCAGGAAGCAGAGGTTGCAGTAAGCCAAGATCATGCCACTGCAGCCTGACCACAGAGCAAGACTCCATCAGTAAAAAAACTTCTTTTAAAAAAAAAATTGGTCTAGAGTTCTACATGTCTCAAACATAGAAAGTAGGACCAACGCAGGTGTCTGACAGGTTTATTGACCTATCTAGAATAACAATGAACATTTACAGAGCAATTGCTATATGGTAGGCATTAACACGTTAAATCCTGCTGACGACCTTATCATGATCATTTTACAGAGGACGAAACTGAGGCATAGAGAGGTCATAGAGTTTTCCCAAGGTTGCACAGCCAGTAAGTGGCAGAGGTGGGACTGGAACCCCAGCCACCTGGCTCTCAGGTGTTTTTTCTATTGCTCCGAGAGGCTCCTCATAAAATATATGTTTGGCAGGCTTATTCCATGGGCATGGCTCAGGCTAAGCACTGGGGATGGGGTGAGGACACAATTAGAAGTCATGGACCTTGCCTTCTACTGGGTTGACAAGGACACCACCATGCCGAGCAAGCAGGAGTGACTGACAGCAGCCACAGGAACTGCCCATGTGGGCTGTAAATGCTGGGAGGTATTCACGGAGGCTGGGCAGTACAGCCTGGTGAGCTCTGACCAGGGGAGTTTTCCTGCCCAATCTCTCTCTTTGTCTGCTGCCATCCACGTAAGACGTCACTTGCTCTCCCTTACCTTCTACCGTGATTATGAGCCTTCCCCAGTCATGTGGAACTGTAAGTCCAATTAAATCTCTTCTTTTGTAAATTGCCCAGTCTTGGGTATGTCTTTATCGGCAGCATGAAAATGGACTAATACAGAGAGACATGAGCATCTGAGAGGCCAATGTATCTAATAAAGCACTAAGCACAGTGCCTGGTACACAGTGGGTGCTCAATAACGGAGGCTGTTCCCACCCACCCTCTCAGCTGCCTCAGCCGGGAACCTGGTAGTTGCCATCCCTGAACGTCCTCCTCTTCCATTACCACATCTTACAGATAGATCTTCCAGCTCTGAGCCTCATCCCTCAGAAAAATCTCTCAAATTCACTCGTGGCTATTAAAATTTTAAATAACTGCAGGGCGTGGTGGCTCGTGCCTGTAATCCCAGCACTTTGGGAGGTTGAGACGGAAGATCACTTGAGGTCAGGAGTTTGAGACCAGCCAACATGGTGAAACCCCGTCACTGCTAAAAATACAACAGTTAGCTGGGCATGGTGGCGCACGCCTGTAATCCCAGCTACTTGGGAGGCTGAGGCAGAAGAATCACTTGGAGGCACAGGTTGCAGTAAGCCAAGATCACGTCGCTACACTCCAGCCTGAGTGACAGAGCAAGACTCTGTCTCAAAAAATAATAAATAAATAAAATGTTAATTAAGTAACAAATAAAATGCGTCAGTTCTTCAGTTGCACAAGCCATATGTCAAGTGCCCAAAAGCACACATGGCTGGTGGTTACCAAATGGGACAGCACAGAACAGAACGTTTCTATCACCATAGAAAGTTCTCTTGGGCAGCCCTGGGTTTGACAACTTGAGAGGCCAGTCTCTCAGAGCAACTGAGAAAACACTTGAGAGCCAGGTGGCTGGGGTCCCATCCCACCTCTGCCACTTACTGGCTATGCAACCTTGGGAAAGCTGCACAACCTCTCTGTGTCAGTTTCCTCCTCTGTAAAATGATCATTTTAAGATTGTTGGGAGGATTTAATGAGTTCAGGCTACCACATAGCAAGTGCTCTACAAATGTTCACTGTTATTCTAGGTAGCTCACCTCTCTTCCTCTCCACAACACCAGCCTTGCCAGGGCCCCCATCAATTCTCTCCTGGTGACTCTTCGGCCTCTTCGCCACCAGTTCTCTCCTGTTCCTTCCCTTAGGTCTATTCTTTCCTGCACAACCAACGTGATCTTTTCTCAGCTTTAGAATCTAAAAGGGACATGGGACCATGTCGTCTGCCACTGAAT